GCCTGTAGAGGGCGTTGCTAGCCTCCCTCGGGTTCAGTCAGGTTGTTGGGTGGGTGGTCCTTCCCTGGAGTTTGTTTGTAGGTGAAATTGGCCCCACCTTCCCAATGGCACCTCTCCTTCCCCAGCTGGATCTTCCTGGTTGGGGTGAAGCTGGTGTATTTGCTGCCAAGCTCTCTAGCGAGGCCTTCAGTTTAAGTTATGTAGAGGTGTGGCCTGCCAGGCCTTATGGTCTGTTTCTCTGCTTTCAACTCTGCTTCCTTCTGTGGGTCCATCCATCCCTCTGGCGTTAGTCCAAACTCCTGCCCAGGTCCCTGTGACAACTTGCCACACCCAGCGGTAGCGGCTGCTCACATTTGCATCGACTACCCAGGGCACCCCACCATCTGGCAGGGCTCTCGTGTACCATGGGTTGCAGGAGGGATGAGGTAGGCACAGGATCTGAAACAGAGCACCTAGGGGGTTAAGTCCCCCTACCCTCCGAACGGGCTGCATGTTTCAGGTGGGGACGTGCCTCCCCATCTTGATTTGCCCCCGTGAGTGGCTCTTGCCCTGCGGCTCCTTCCGTGGGCCTATTTTTAGTGCCCTATCAGTCCCACAGAAATGAACCTGGCACCTTGTTTGGAATCATGAGGTCCTCTAGCCTTCTGCATCTCATTCGCTGGGAGCTGCTTTCTGGTCCTGGCTTCTCTCAGCCATCTTGGCGCCCCCCTCCGTGCCTAGGATCTTAAGTGTAACTACATATTAGCCCCAACAAATGAGGCGTATGGTTTATTTATAAGACATAGTTAATTCTTTTGTGTGACAGCCATTCTCAGTTTGAGGCTAAGCAGATTTCAGACATATCCAGTGAGGTATGAACTGGTGGGATGGAATCAGCAAAAGTCTATTTTCTTAGAGCTAAGGAGCTTAGTAAGGAGGAACTTAGATTGAGGGAACAGGGATCCAGGCAGAGAGAGTCTGAGGAGACAGTGAAATCTTAGCATCTTACAGGGGCAATTCTGAGAACATCATGGTGTCTGTCTCTTGCATTTGTCTCCCTCTCTTGATCCTGCCAGACTCATCTTAAGGAAAACAAGAGTGAGGTCCTTAAGTCAAAACTGAAAAAGCTAGTTTCAATAAAGTCTGCTTTAGGCATTGGGATGGGACTCAAAAATTTCTCATGGAGGGTAACACAAAGAAGAGAGCCATTCTTTCTCACTTTACCAAGAAACATGAGAGTCTTGACACGTCCGAGTTTCAAGTACTACATATTTTAAATTATTAAAAAAAGACATTTGTTGTTTAATACACATTTTTTAAATTATTAAAAACAACAGAGAAAAAGAAGTACCCTCCTCACAAATGAATTTGTCTATACTGAGCCCAATCCCAATCTGCAAAGTATCTGCAGGAAGAAAGGAAATCAAAACCCTGAAACTATGAAAGGAGGACCCTTTCCCTTACTCGATAGCAGGGAGTAGAACATTTCCAAAAATTCACAGAAAGTTTTTTTAGAACATACCATTCAATTCTGAAAAGAAGGCTCTTAAAATGTTCTAGAGTGTGTCCCTGAGCATTCTGAAGATTTTAAATAAGTTGTCACAGCAGCTCCACCCAGAGGCTGTTTTATCAAACCACAAAGTGACACTCCCAGACTGGAGTCCTGTGGAGAGCAGAGAAACAGCTGGCTGGAGAGCTCACCCAGCAGGAATCCTTGCCCACATCTGCTGCGCACCTTAGAATCCCTGGAGAGAAACACACAATTCTCCTGGCCTGCTTCTGATGCAAAGGTGGGAATTTTAAGCTGTTGTAGCTTGTTGGACTTCTTTCTACCTTAAAGGCAAAGAATCTCTATTGCTAAGGTCAAAAAGGTACAAGAAAAAAAAAACAATATATTTTCAGGAGATCTTTGGGCATGTGATTCATACAGATGAAAAGAAAGGTGATTCCACCACGTGGCTTGAAAGGCATGTGATATTTCTGTGCAAGTTGTCGAAAAATATGATGTTACCCAAAACATTTATAAGAAGTGATGGCTGTGGGAATAATAATAATAAAGCCTAAGACATAATTTTGAGAAAATTGAAGGCTAAGTCTGAGAAATAAATTGTTACTGAAATTATGCTAGTATATCAGAACTGCCTCTATGACTCCTGAAACATGAGAGCTTCAGGCAACAGAGGCCAGAGGCTCAGAACTACACTTGGGGACGTTTCTTTTTTTTTTTTTTTTTTTTTTTTTTTTTTTTTTTTTTTTTTTTTTTTTTTGAGGCGGATTCTTGCTGTCATTGCCCAGGCTGGAGTGCAATGGTGCGATCTCAGCTCACCACAACCTCTGCCTCCTGGGTTCAAGCCATTCTCCTACCTCAGCCTTTGGAGTAGCTGGGATTACAGGCATGAGCCACCACACCTGGCTAATTTTGTTATATTTTTAGTAAGGACAGGGTTTCTCCATGTTGGTCAGACTGGTCAAACTCCTGACCTCAGTTGATCCACCTGCCTCGGCCTCCCAAAGTGTTGAGATTACAGGTGTGAGCCACTGCGGCCAGCCCAAGGACCTTTCTTTTTGAAAGTAAAATCTACCTCCAGGGAGCCTCTTTCTCACCTCCCTATTCACTCTTCATCTTTAACAATAAGACTGTGGAATACTGACTCACTGAGGTTACCCGCAACATCCCAATGGCCAAATCCAAAGGCCTCTTTTCCCACTGTTATGTTACTAGATTCTGTCCAGCATTTTTCATTATTGACACCTCTCTCTCATATCTTTGCTTGGGCTGCTATAACAAATATACCATTGACTGGATAGTTTAAACAACAAATTTATTTCACAAAGTTCTGGAGACTACCAAGTCCAAGATCAAGGTATTGGTAGATCCAGTGTCTGGTGAGGGCCCCCTTTCTGGTTAGCAGATGTCTGTCTTCTTGTTTTATCCTCACATAGGGGAGAGCAGAAAGAGAGGAAGCAAGCTCTCATGCATCTCTTCTTATAAGGGTACTAATCCCATTCATGAGGGCTCCACCCTAAGAACCTAATTATCTCCCCAAGAACTCACTCCAAATATCATCACATTGGATGTTAAGCTTCAACACATGAATTTGGTGGGGGCACAAACATTCAGTCCACGGCAAAAGCTAATCTCTCTCCCCACAGCTCCCATGTTCTGTCCTGGCTCTCCTCCTCGCCTTATGCTTGGCTCCTTTCAGCCTCTTTCTTTGATTCTCCCCTCTTCCCTTTTTTCTTTTTCCTCTAAAAATAGCCTTTTTTCGGGTTGCAACTCTCACCTTCATCTGCTCCCTCCCAGACTACCCCATCCCAGGCTTGATTCTTAATTCCTGGACATCTGCAGCTGAATATCCCACAGGTAAATTGACAGGCACACACTGAATTCATTTTCAACCTCTCCTCCTCAAATGTGCTATTGCTATGATATTCTCTTTTCTGGTCTTTGGAAATTTTGTGCTTGGTTTAGGCAGATAACAATGGCTTTGCTGAATGTACCCTCTGGTGGCCAAGAGAAGGAATCACTGCAGCCACATTTTATAAAAATGTTTCCACCCGGGGCATGTATGCATCATGAGGTCATTGTCAAAGAAGCCGGAACAAAAAGACCCCAACTGCTTTCATCCTTTCTCATGAAAAGGAATTTTTATTCTCCACACTCTATTTTTCTATGTCCTATGTGTCAGAAAATTTATAAAAATAAAAATATAAAAGGCTTGACTTTTCTTCTGATAAAGTATCAAAATGGCAAACTATAAAAGTTTCCCCACTTCACCTGCCTGCTCTCCTCACCACTGTATTTTCCACATGGAGCAAGATGTCACTCATATATGCCAGTGGATGTCACGAACAAACAAGGGACAGGGAAAGCCCAGAACTTCTCAATGCTCATTGGCACTAGAACATAGTGGTGTACTTACTATTTTTCAGAGGTGGGATCTTGTGAATGAGGCCACAATTTGGCACAGAAAGTAGTCATTGCCACTTAATTACTCACTTGAGATGGGAACTTTTATTCTGGTGACTGGAAATATTCCAATGTTGCTTTGAGCATAAGGGACAATGACTACATCCCATAAAGCTCCACGGGATGGCTTTTTTATTTAAGTTTGGTTAAGTGACAATCCACAGTTATTAAATCAAACACTAAGCTAATTATTGCTGTAAAGAAAATTTGCAGAAGTAATTAAAGTTCCTGATCAGTTGACTCTAGGTAAAGAAGATCATCTTGAATAATCTGGGTGAACCTGACTTGATTAGTTCAAAGGCCCTAAAAGCAGAGGTGAGGCTTCCCTGAAAGAGATAGACATTTCTGCCCATGAAGAACAACTTCAGCCCCTTTTGTGCAATTCCAATGTTTCTATGATTTTCCCCTTCTGACTGCCTGTTCTGTAGATTTACCTCCTTATTCAGCCCCAACAATCATGTAAGCCAATTCTGGTGTATGAGTTTGCTAGGGCTGCCATGACAAAGTATCACAAACTTGGTGTAGTAGAACAACAGAAATTTATTGTCTCATAGATCTGGAGGCTAGAAATCCAAGATCGAGGTGTCAGCAGGGTTGGCTTTGTCTGAGGGCTGTGATAAGGAGTCTGCTCCAGGCCTCTCCTCTAGCTTCTTTCTGGTGGTTTACTGGGAGTCACTGGTGCACCTTGGCTTGTAGATTATGTATCGCCCTAACCTCTGTCTTCATCATTACACGATGTTCTCCCTGTGTGTGTGTGTCTCTCTGCTTCCAATTTTCTCCTTTTTATAAGGACACTAGTCATATTGGATTAGGACCCAGGCTAATACCCTCATTTTAACTTGATTAACTCTGTATCAATCTTATCTCTAAATAAGGTTACATTCTGAGGTACTGGAGGTTAGGACTCCAGTATATTTTTGAGGCAGATGTAATTAAATCTGTATCATCTGCCTCTCCGGTTGAACCCTGGATGATATACTCTGTGTTTATCACTTGGTCACATTCCCTAAAACAGCTTACCAGAAACATTGGTTTCTCCATTTGTCCCATCTCATGTCTCCAGAAACATTGACTCATCCTCTGATATGGAGATGTTTAAATCTGGGTGTAAGAATGCTACAATTACTCAGCTCCCACAAAGACGGCCAGGGTTAGAGATTTATCAGAAAATGATTTATGAAGCTATCGTTAGAATTCTAGGGCACCTCAGCCAGCTAGACTCTATAGATATCTCAAATGAGGAGTGGGCATTTTAACTATAACGTGGCTTTGCCATCTGCAGTTGCTTAATACCCAATGAGAATGAACAACTTGGTAAGCAGATAACTGGCTTTGTGGGATTTGGAAAGAAGAATCATGGGTGTGCAAACCTGCAAGGAAGCTGGTTAGGTAGTTCAAGTGTCCAGGGTCTGGAGTTGGTGAAGATATTTCATATTTCTGTGTCTCTGTTATGCATTGCACACTTGCTTGTGGCTAAGTGTGTCTCACCTGATTTAATCCTCACTACATTCTTATTAGGCATGCATTGTTTTCCCTTAGTAGGATTGAAAAAATATGAGTCTTAGATGACTCTTTCTTAAGATTACATATTTAGTAATGATCAGCCAGGATTCAGGCATACATACAGTCACTCATTCTCTGTCCATCCCATATATGTGAATTTACCTACTCACTAAAATTTATTTATAGCTCTAAAAGCAATACTCATGTTGTTCTCATCATCATTCATAGGCATGTGAAGAGTGACAAAAATGTGAGTTGTTAGACACATGTTTCCAGATGAGGTGAAACAAGGCAATGTTTTGCCTTCTTGCTTTAGCCTTCCTCCTATAAACAAGTGTCCTTTTCATGATCTATTTAGTACCACTATTTTTTTCTTTTTTCATTTCTGTTCTTTTTATTGGTGACCTCAATGTTTAAAATGGCCCCAAGCATAGTGCTGAAGTGCCACCTAATGTTCGTAAGTGCCTCAAATAGAAAACACTTGTTAGATAGCTTCATTCAGTCATAGTGCTGTTGGCCATGCATTTAATGGTTATGAATTCATGGTAATGAATCAACAATATATATTAAATAGGGTGTCTTTAAGCAGAAACACACATAAAACAAGGTTATATACTGATCAGCTGATGAAAATGTACCTTGCAGGCACCTAACTACATTTCTCAGAAGCGATGGCTGAGTATTCTCTTATTCAGTGTCCATGGTGACTTGTAGGACATAATTACTGCAGATAGTGAGAACTGACTGCCTCCGTGTGGGGCTCTGAAGACTTATCACAAGGATTATAATTAGGAACCAAAGAGTTGGTGACTCTATCATCTTACCTGCTTTAGGAATGAAGGAGATTGTAGCCTGAAAGCCGCTGAAAGTCTCATTCTTATCCGATCAGAAGCTGATGAGCATGATGCTGGAGGGCTTAGCACAGGGGTGGGGACATCATAGCCACAGAGCCGAGCTCATTGAAAACCAACCCAGTCAAGACATTGTCAAGCACTCAGCAGATAGCCATGACGTTGGAGAGAAGAAAAAAAGAAAATCATCCTTCAAGTAATTATTGTGAAATAAGCTTTTCTGATGAATGCCACAATTCATTTTCAAAATAAAGGCAGCCCACTCCTTAAATAGGTAATTAATCACATGATATTTCAGTTTGGTTTTCTTTCCCAGACGCTCCCACCCACAATGCTGTTAAGGGAACTGGTTCAAGACTCGGGACTTGTTTCAGTGGAACTTTCCCCTTCTGACTCCTAGTTCCTCCTGGGCCTTTCACATCTCCCGTTTCAGTGGTTCTTTGATTCTCCCTCTTTATCTTCCCTCTTCTAATGTAGAAGACAAAAGAGTGATGGTGACACCACAGGGAAGGGTGGAGGTGGTGCAGGAAGGTAAAGGAAGATTGATCGGTATTCTTTTTACTCCCATCTCAAGACTGGGTCCAAATGCAAACCAGAGTGAACTGAAGCTCACGGGACACAAACCTATTTCCTTCTTCCTTTCTACATCACTGTGCACTGTCACATAGTCGGAAGTGCAGTCTCCACTTTCTTCTATTTCCAGACTCTGAAATGAAAGCTGAGAAGACAAAAAGTTAGATCCAGATTAAACACTCTGAGTGAATTACCTGGCTTTGATTCAGCAGAGAAATTTGGATTGCTCAACTTGTTCTGGAGTAAGACTTCAGATGAGAAAGTTAGTGGACCTGTGATATAGAATCCCTTTTCCAAGGAAGGGATTCTATATCACAGGCACTCTAACTTTTTAAAACAGCCACCAAATATGGCCAAAATCAAAGGGCAGGATACTGTGCAAATATTTTAGCTTCCTAGCAGCTCTAAGAGTTTAGAAGAGCTACCCCATGGGGATTTTTTTTTCACTGGAAGCAACTAGGCACTCAACCAATTGCATATATACAAAACTGCTTCTCTGGACATCTTAGTGTTATTCACCTGGTTCCTGATGTTTCATCTTGAACCTCTAGTTCTCCTGAATCCAGACTGAAATTAGTTGTGCCCCTTGAGACCATGTCTTTCTACCCAGCAGGACATATCCAGCTCCTCTTCTCACCTACTCTGTCCTATTGCCACTAAATTTCCATGCCTCACTGCAAAATTCTGATAAGGCACAGATACAAGTGATTCTAATTGCTGATATAAAACAAAATATCATCTGAGCTACTGAAAGTATTTGCATAGGTGGGCTCAGAGTCAAATGTAGTGAACTTGGGGAACTCATTACAGAGTCAAGTGTAGTGAACTTTGGGAACTCATTAATGTGCATGAAAAAGGAAATCCTTGTATGAGTTAGAGTTGATTTTGGATACTAAGCTTAAATGTAAACCTCAGCAAAATTCTCAAGTAGATTATTTTGTTACGATGAATAATGACGTAGAAAAGAAAGGTGATCACCTGGAATCAAGCTAGGTTCACCAAGAATAAATCATGACAAACCTTTTCTCATAGTTTCTATCATCGTGATGCTGATTGACAACATAATATTTCATTTATCTCTATCCTTGAGATCTCCATTTTTTGCTGTCTTAGAAACTTAGCAGTAAATATCTTTATGCATTTGCCTTTTTTCTTCTCTTATATTATTCCGTGCATCGGCACTTGTTTTGTATTAAGCAAAGGGAGGAGTAATATCTAGACAGAAGGAACAGTGTGAAGGAGGAACAAAGAAACAATAAAAAGTGATCTTGGAGCAGTTTGGTGAGCACTAGCCAATGGAATTTGAAGTGAAGAGTGGTGGGAGAAAGGGCTGATGAAATAGGAGTTTGAATTTTCACATACAGATGGTGGGGATTCAATGGGACCCGGACTCCGAGCAAGGTGCAGAAAGGATTGTGTGGATGAAATAAAACTGGAGGCAAATAATTATTAATGGTGAAGGTAGGTTTGGGGAGGGGGACATGTATCAGAAATAAGATTCATTCAAACATTAAACCCTTTCTGGGATACTTTCTGTGAAGGGGCCCTTTTGTCTCCAAGTCAAATGGTAAGCACATTGCTATGACTTGTAACACCGATTTTCAAATTACTATCTTAGATGAGTCCTGCAAAATGATGCTGTCACTGGCAGGGTATGAGAACATCACCTCACTGGTGCACCACACTCAAGATTTAAATATTGAGGAGATATTTTTCAATCGCTTCTGGCTCCGGCATTTTCAGATTTTCAACTAAATTTCCTCTTCTTCCTCCTCCTGGAAACATGCTTACAGCCTAAATTTTATCCTCCACCACTAACAACAAATTTTTCTTAATACTGCTGAAAGTGTGGCCCCAACTCTGTTTAGGTTTGAAGAACTTTTAGAAAGAAATCTATACTAACTGCCTCTGTATCATCTTTTCCTGCTCACTCATAAATCCTGTGTGGTCTTCTTTCTGTCATTAATGTCTGACTGAACGTGATATTTCAGATACCACCAATCCCAACTGCTCTCAATTGTTCAATTTCCAATCTAATTATTCTGCCAGCTTAGGGAGGTGTGGGGTGCGGACTGGACACTTCAGTTCTCAGTTCTCATCTCTTTAAGTTCTAACTTTGTGTGGTATCCAAACAATTGGTTACATCTTTCTGTTTGGTTTGGTTTGTGTTTTAAGTTAAAGGCTGCATTCTCCAGGCTGACATAAGAACATATCAGTTTGGTTCTCCTCCCACATCTCAGAGCTCTTTCCATATCTTAACTACATGAGAACGCTGGGACCTCATCATCCCTCACTCCTCTCCCCTTTATTTTCTACTCTCCATTCTCTCCATCATACACTGTCTTGTTTTCAGTTATTATTTTAAGAGGAAGACCTATAAGAAAATGCCTCACCCCAATCTCACCCTGACTGCAGTCTTACTTCCACCTCCCTGGTGATACCTCTCTGCAGATTGTTCATTAGTGTTTAATGGACAAACAACCATAAACACTGCTAATCAAATGTGGAATAAACTCCATTTCAAGCCGTTCAAAGGCCTCCATACATTGACTTCTGCCTTGCTTTTCACTGCCCTCTCCAGGACACCTAATACCCTCTTAAACCAGCGATTCCCTGAGCCTGTTCTGCACTGCATCCTCTAGGCTTGCTCTGCCCTTTCTGCTTCAAAGATGCTGATTTGGACCTGATTGTCTTTGACTGTTGTTATCTCTAATTTACAGTGTGATTTGTGAGCAGTTTAATAAATAAGGAAGAAATGCTTGTTTCTGGGAGGGACTCAGAAAGTCACCAGTACAAAGATTTTTGTGTTTTTTTTTTATTTTTTGATACGGAGTTTCACTCTTGTCGCCAAGGCTGGAGTGCAGTGCACGATCTCGGCTCACTGCAACCTTCATCTCCTGGGTTCAAGAAATTCTCCTGCCTCAGTCTCCTGAGTAGCTGGGATTATAGGCGCGCACAGCAGCTAATTCAATACAAAGATCAAAGCAGCACTTTTTTTTTTTTAACAAAAAGGAAAAAGCACAGTGTCATCTAGTGGTAAACGTGTGTAGTTTCACGGGAAACTGGGCAGACCCATTATTCATCAAGTATTTATTGACAGCTTTGCGTGTCAGATGCTGGGTTCTAGGTAGTGGATAAATCATATAAAACCTCTGATCTCGTGGTGCTTATGTTAGCTAGTTTGTGAATTTGCCATAGCTGAGTAAAGACAGCTAAAGTCAATACCTTAATTAGATGATGTTTAGGGACTTGAAAAATCCAGTTACAGTTAGCCATGTCACTGTAGTTTTCAGGATAGTTTAGACTCTGTATGAGGCCTTCTTCACAAAGGACAGTTAAGTAACTGCAACCTGAATCTGAAACATGAGAAAAAGTCCAAACAGATGACACCATTTAAGTAAAGAAGAATTCTCAATGTTCTCCCTCCTGTCTCCTGAAAATGATGCCTATCAGTTGCAGTTTCAGACATTGTCAACAAGAAAAGAGGTCGCGCATGATCCTCCAGAACTCTTCAGCCCTTCTGAACTCACTTGGATGGGCGATCACTACGAGCTAGTAGGGTGAACTCGGGTTGAGGGGGAGACTGCCCCCTGTTCTCTAGCTAGCCTGTGCCCCTCTTCCATGTGGAGCCAGTTGGGCCTTGGGAGAGGGATCCCTGCCTCTCACCTAATTCCTATGGGGCCTAGGCTTCTACAGAAGGTGGGGATAGTTATGTGATAAAAGTAAATGGTTTTAACAGGAATGTAGTTTGGCTTAAGGGCTTTATAGGTAAGATTAAATCCAGTTGCATAATCTGTGGCATCAGAGATGAATTTCAGCCTTAGAAAATTAGAGCCAGCAAGAATGGATGAAGGGAGGCTTTCTCCACAAAATTTTCCTGCAGGATGAGAAAAAAGATTCTTTGTTCAGCATCTAGAAAATAGTTCCCATTCAATGATTTAAGAAGAACAGAACTTGCCATGATATTTCAGGATTTTCCAATCTCAGTCTTGGCACAATTGACATTTTGAGCCAGAACCTTCTTTGTGTTCTTACTGTCCTGCATCTTTTGTAGAATGTTTAGTAGCATTCCTGACCTCTACCAGTGACAATCCCTGCACCTGTGACAACTGAAAATGCTTCTCAGTCATTGTCAAATGTGTCCTGAGGGTTAGGGGTACAATATCACCTCCAGCTGAGAACCACAGAAACGCCATTCCATTTCCGTTTCTTATAAGTAACCTGTTTCCTTCTCATGATTGTCTATTTGTATTTTCCTTCTTAGCTTGATGAGGCAGGGAAAGTTCGTTTTCACAGCTAGGAAAGCAGTGACCTGTCTGGAGGTCCTGAGAGGCCCTGGAATATATCTAGAGTTTATTCTTCAGGGGTTCCAGGTCTGGCAAATAGGTCTAGGAAGCCTGGTTTGATGAGAAACAGATTTGGCAAATAATTGCCCTGTGACCTCGCAGCCATCAGCCAGGCTCAGGTTTGGTTCCTTCTCACTCCCCATTCTGAGTCTCAAAACTGAAGTCAAGCAGTGTGGCATTTACAGATGGCTCAGTGCCACACATAAGATAACCAAGGCCCCATTCAGCCCACTTGGCACTGGTTTCCATTTGACAATGTGAAAATCCACTCACCGATGGGTCTGTCTTCTAAAGAATACGTTGACAGGTAATTGTGGTGACAAGATTCAACATCTAGGTGGGCAAAATGGAGCAACATATGCATTTCCTCTGGCACCAGCAGGGTCCAGACACACTGTCTGTAGGCAGATCATGGAGAGGGCGTCATTTCTAGACAGAAAATTACTATCACAGTCCAATTAGTGGGCACAGCCAGACTGGAGGTGGGAGTAAGGAGGAGGAGTGCAAAGGGGGTTACTCACTGCTTGCTCTCATAATAAAGGTGGAGGCTTTCTGGGAAGTGCAGCTCCCCCTCAGCCCCACTGACTATGCCATCCTGCTCACTGCACCAGGCTGGGAGGGAAAACCAGGAAAGTCAGGGTGAGCTGTGCAGGCTTACCTCAACAACCCCTTCCTCCAGAAGCTGCAAACACCAGAGTCTCCTGGTTCTTCTTGATGTACTCTTTGTTCTTCATGAAATCTTCTCCTGTCTTTGCTTCTATGATGCCTTTTAGGCTCCTTTTAGATACTGCTTGACTTTGAGATTCTATTATTGGTTTTGGTTTTCCTTTTTTAACTCTTCTCTCTCTTTTTTTTTTTTTTTTTTTTTTTTTGAGACAGTCTCTGCCTGTCTCCCAGGCTGGAGTGCAGTGGTGCAACCATAGCTATTCCCCTCAGCCAGCTATCTCCTTGGGCCCTGCCCTTACAGGCCCCAGAGGATTCATTTTTTGTCTATATAGATAGTCTTGCTCTGTCACCCAGGCTGGAGTGCAGTGGCATGATTACAGCTTACTGCAGCCTCAAGCTCCCAGGCTCAAGCAATCCTCCTGCCTCAGTCTTTCGAGTAGCTGAGACTACAAATGTACCACCGCAGCTGGCTATCTTATTTTTTGTAGAGATGGGGTCTATGTGGCCTAGGCTGGTCTTAAACTCCTAGACTCAAGAGATCTTCCCACCTTGGCCTCCCAAAGTGCTGGGATTACAGTGTGAACCATTGTGCCTAACCAAATCCTGGTTTGCGACTTACTAGCTGTGTGAGCTTTGGTAGAAAGTATTTATCCAGTTTCAGTCTTTGTTTCTTCTTCAGTTCAATGGGGATGTCCATTGTATTCATGAATGTAAGGCTTGTGAGTATTAAATGGGACAGTATCCAGCTCATTGTAGGTGCTCAGCAAATGGTGATGTTATTATTATTACCCTTTTGTTAAAACGAATCCATAATATGCACTAGAGAGAAACACCATAGGTGTCTAATGATGTTCTTATTACAAATGATTTGCCACAGGATTTCTAGACAAGAATCAACTCCTGGAAGTTATTTCTAGTGATCCCTTTTAGGCCTCAAAAGTGAGGGATGTACCTTGCCATGAGTTTGTCCAATGAGCCAGACCCCCAGAACTTGCTGTATGATGGGGTGGGCTCGTCTGAGCCTTGTAGTTTCTCAGTGGTGGGTTAAATTGCTGGTCCTTTACAACAGTGATTCTAGGACATTGAATTAAAGTGCTATCAGCATAGCTGCATTAGATAACATATTGGAAAATGCTATGTTATGTTCTTAGATCATAACATAACATAACATAACATAACATAACATAACATAACATAACATAACATTAGAAAATGCTATGTCTCCATTCTTAACTTTGCACACAGAGCTCAGTCAGAAGCCACGTCCAGGGAGTGCTTTTCATCCGGCATCCTCACCCCATCTGTGCAATGGAGCCTAAGTGTTTCTGCTCCCCTCCCTGGGAAGACATCTGCCTTGTTTCCTGATAAATAGGGCATCCTTCTGTTTGAAATATTATTTGCCACTGTAAAATGAGATGGCTGTGCCCAGAATTCTGAGAATTGATGATGTTTTCCCACAGGGAGACAAATGCTTCCAGCACTGTGAAAGACGTGCATAGTTGCATAACTTGTGGATAAAGTTATTTCAATTAGTTATAAAGATTATACCTTTTGTGACACATGCAAGGCTCATAAAAGCTCACTACCTCTATTTTTCTGTGATAACATTTGTAAATATAAACATTATCTTGTTAATAGTGCTTCTTTAAAAAGCATTATCTTGCTGTTCTACATGGATGAATTAGAAACACTGTTTTTACAGCGAGGAAGCTTCTTCAGACAAGACTGCTGCCTGCCAGTGGGCCCCCATCATTCAACCGGAGGCTGCACAGGTGTTAAGAGCAAGATTTGGGATGCCTGGGATGAGTGAGAGGAGGCCGAGAGGAACTGGGGCTGCAGAATCCAGGGCTAGCTTCATCACAGTCTTTCAATATGTGACGGTGAACCTTATCCCACAGACCAGAGGGACTAGTTGTTATTCTGTCTCTGCTAAAGACAAAGCAGCAGAAAAACAGGGTCAGAAGCGGCAGGAGCATTTAGGTTCGTTTCTAGAAAGGTAGCAGTCTGCCAGTCAATGCTAGATGTTTCTTTCTTCTTTACCAGGGGGTTTTTAAAAATATATTTTGTTGAAGTATTAGTTTGAACCATATGAAATTGCTGATATTTGAGTGTTTTGACCTATAAAACCAGGAATTTCATTCAGTTCAACCTAAAAATAACATACACAAAGAAATGTATGCTATTCATAATTGTACAGCTGCCCGGAAAACTCCCCAATCTGCCAAGCCCCCTTCCACCACCCTGACTTCTAACATCATTTGAACTCCATAGAAATGGAACCATAAAGCATATGCGCTTTTGTGTGGCTTTTTTTGTTGAACATGTTTTTGAGATTTATCTCTGTTGTTGTGGGTAGCTGCAGCTTGTTCATTCTTGTGTGCTCCAATTTATTCATTTTACCCATGGACATAGGGGATATTTATCATTTTTGGCTATTAAACAAAATGGTGTGATTGGTTTTTGGTGAAAGTATTTGTCATTTCTTGTAGGTATATATGAAGGGGTGGAACTACTGGGTTTTTTCATCAGAAGTTCTTAAGGATTTGGCCTGTCTATTCAGCTGTAACTCTAAAACCGATATTTAGCCTGTATGATGCTGTGATCTCCATCTGCTGAGCAGCTACCTTGCAGAAAGCATGCAATGGGACTGGCAAGTGACAGGGCCTGGCAAATGGGTCCCTTTCTGCTGGAGGGCAGGCAGCATGGCATCGTGATAGAGAAGTGAAGCCCTGACTCTGCTGTTTATAAAGATGTGCCCGAGCCTCCTCATCTATAAAATGGGGACACTATCTCACCTCCTAGGGAGGTTGTAAAGATGAGGTGATGTGAGATGTGCCAGGTGCCTTGCACAAAGATGGCACATAGTAGGTGCTAATCCAGTCTCTTTTCCTCCCTCCTCCTTCCTCCTTCCTAGAACTGAGGTGGATACAGGTCAATAAAAAGATGCCTGACATCACAATGTAGTAATAATAATAATAGTAAAATAATGTGGCTCTCAAAACTGCAGGAGAGAGCTGAGCCTTGAACTAGGATTTAGAAATTTCCTGGGAGACATCTGAATCATAATCTAAGAAAAAGAAATTGCCAATATGTAAGTATGAGTAGGTATCTTTTAAGTGACATCTGTTGCACTTTGGTTATAGAAAGGCAGGGTGGTGGAGAAGGAAACACATATTTCCTACCAAGAAAGAACACTTTAATGCCTACTGTGTGCTACCTTTGTACTAGGCACTTGTCACAATCATATGCTTTAATCATGACACCTCTCAGGAGGTAGCATTGTTGTCCTGATTTACAGAGTTAAGGGTTAATGCTCCCTCCTTCAGAGAGCTCTTACCAATTAACAAGAAAGCAGAAGAGCTCATCAACAGAAAAATGGGCAATAGATATGAGCAGAAAACTAACAAAAGTTCGAAAACTGACACATTTTAAATCTGTGATTCTTTGTATGTTGACTTTTAAGTTCAGAGGTACATGTGCAGGTTTCTTACAGAGGTAAACTCATATTATGGGGGTTTGTTGTATAGATTATTTTGTCACCCACATATTAAGACTAGTACCCATTAGTTACTTTTCCTGATCCTCTTCTTCCTTCCACCCTCCACCTTCCAGTAGGCCCCAGTGTCTGTTGTTCCCCTGTATGTGTTCGTGTGTTCTTATCTTTCCACCTATAAGCAAGAACATGTGGTGTTTGGTTTTCTGTTCCTGCAGTAGCTTGCTAAGGATTATGGCCTCCAGCCCCATCCATGTTCCTGCAAAGGACGTAATCTTATTCTTTTTTATGGCTGCATAGTAGTTCATGGTGTGTATGCATCATGTTTTCTTTATCCGGTCTACCATTGATGGGCATTTAGGTTGATTCACAAATGTCTTTGCTATTGTGAAAAGTTCTGCAATGAACATAAGTGTGCATGTGTCTTTATTATAGAATATAAACCTGTGATTTCTATAGCAATGCAAGATATGCACCTGAAAAGAACAAAATAATGAATATACATTAGTAGAAGCTTTTTATGTGCTACAATGAAAGAATGTGCAGCTATTAAAATTAGTTACATAATAGGTAGGTAGTTGTTAACTTGAGAAGATACCTGTTAACCATTGTTAAGTGATAAACGCAGCTTACAAAACTGTGCGTGATGCTATTTTAATGTGGTAATGTAATAAAATCAATTGTGTCTGTATCTCTATAAGGATACACAATAGGATTTTAACAGTGATTATTTTGTGCTGATGGGATTATGTAATATTTGCTTTTTAAATGTTTTATATTGTTTTTAAATTGTTTTATACTAAGCATTTATTATTTTCATACATAGTAAAAAATCAATATAGATATTTTCTGTTATTGAAAAAAGGAGAGGCCAATGAAATATTCCAGGATAGGGCACTGAATGATTTTTTTGTGATTGCTTTGGAAATATTTAAGGTGAAAATGTGTCAAAAATCAACATTTCTACATTTTATATCACGTAAAATATTTAAGAAAAATCAGAGAGTAAAGACTACTATCCAGAATGTGTAAGTTGTGTTTTCAAATGTGACCAGATGCTCAGCTGGAATAATAAGTGGCACAACTGTTTTGAAGAGCAATATTGCAGTGCATGAACAGCCGGAAAATTATTCCTGCCCTTTGACTTAGATACTTGGTACAGAAATACATGGGGGCATTAACTGAAGAGATACCAGAATCCTCATATATAAAGATTTTCATTGCTGTGTTCCATACAAAATAAATACATTTGTCAAATAAAAATTAAATTAAAACTCAAATGGTCAGCATTTGAAGATGCTTTGTGAACACACAGAATATTATCTAGTTATTGAAAGAGTCATTTTGAAAATCATGAAGAAACGTGTTGAACTTTTATGATGTAATAGTTAAGGAAAAGCACTATGCAAAAATATACCTTGGAATTGCAACTATTTAATGTATGTCTGATTTGGACCAATACTAGGAAGAATTATGCCAAAATGAATATTTGTCCTCACTTAAATTTCTTTCAGGATTATAAAATACTTGTGAAAATTAAAGCAATACAAAAAGTATAAGGCTTCTGGAACCACTTCACTTTTCTCTGCCTATTCCATTCTCTTCACTTTTTATATACATTGATATATAATTAACAAGACTGCTGGAAACACATTTTATATATAGCTTAATTTTAAAACTCATTATCTCTTTAAGATATCATATATGTAAACACATACTTGATTGTTTTTTACTGTCTGTGTGTGTTCCATTGTATTAACCTATTCATGGAATATTAGGGTATTTTCATCTTTTGCTATGAAAAACAATATTGCAATTGTTGTGTACATTGTAGTGCACCTGTTCAAGTATTGCTGCATGATAAACTCTTATAAATGAATTTTCTGAGTCAAGACCATATACATTTTCAATTCAGATGGATACTGCCAAATTGTCCACCCAAGGACTACACATACTTATATTTCACTGGCAGTGTGTAAAGGTGTCTGTTTTTATGCACCCTTGCCAATGATGGATGTTTTGTATTTCTGCCATGGCCCAGAATGTAACATTTACTTCACTTTGCATTTCTTCATGTTTAGGATTGAGCATCTTTTCACAAGCATATTGGCAATTTGTATTTTTTCAGTGAAATATATGTCTTTTCCTTTATCCATGTTTCTGTTGGATATCTGAATTAAGCTTACTCATATGTAGGTCTGCTTTATGCCTTATAAATATGAATCTTCTCTTTCATATGTTGCAAGTATTTTTCCATGTCTATGGTTATTTTTCAGTTTTTTAATAATTTCTATTATTGTATACAAGTTTTAATTTTATGTAGTTAAATCTGTGAGTCTTTCTTTGTGGTTTGAGTTTCAGTCCTGTTTAGAAAGTCCTTTCCCATTTAAAAGAGAAATGTTTTTCTGTATTATCTAGTATTTTACACTTTAGTTATTATATTTTAGTTCTCTAATGTATTGGTGCCTTATTTGTTATTTGTGTGGTGAGGTAGGGGATTCAACTTTTTGTCCCACTTGTTGGTTTGTTGATTATGGAATAGACCATTGTTTTCTTGAGTCTTATGGGAGTGCAACTAAATTCTATTCTGAATATTTATTTGCCTGATATTGTCTCAATTAACATTTAAGTATTGTAATTTTATAGTATATTTACATATCTATAGGGAAAATTTGTCCCCTGCACACTCACTCCACCCCACCCACTGGGAAGGAGTACAGCACAGTGATTAAGCTTCAGGCTTTGGTGCCAGGATACCTAAAAACTAGCCTGCTATGTACTGGCTATAATTTGGGTAGCTTGCTTTATGTCTCTGTGCTTTAATTTCCTAGCCTTTAAGACAGATAATAATAGTACTAAAATAGTTTTATTGTATTGAGACCAGAGACTGTGGTTGTGTCATTTCTATGTTTTATAACTAGTTATGATTTTCTATGTGGCCACATACATAGTCAGTTTCTTTGGTTGTAAATTTACATAGCTTGAACTTAATGAATAGTTTCTGTTTGGTAAGTGTAAAGTTCTAAATGTATTAAAAGAAGTTAGACATGCTATTTAAATCTTCTATAGTCTTATTCTTTTAATTTGAAGATATGCTATCTCTGTCAGGCAAGAATAATTAAAGCCTTCACATGCTTTTTGGAAATAATTAATATTTAGTGTTATTAAAGCCAACTTATTATGTGTTTTCTTTTTATGGTGCTTTATATTTATGTTTTATTCCCTTTGTTTCTTTCTTCTAGCTTATTAGCTCAAGTTTTCCTTGCTACCCTGCTTTTTTACCATAGTAATTTGGATGTCATAATTTCTGTCTATATTTCTAGTTAGTATTCTTAAATTTTATCTCCTTCTGATGCTTGAGCTTTTATCATTATAAAATTTCTATTTGTCTTTGTATTAATATTTTTGTCTGGAAGTCTACTTTATCTAACATTAATATATTACTACATTATCTTTATTGAAATTACTATCTGCACAGGATATCTATTTCCATTCTTTTACTTTCAACTTATCTGTGTCTTTATTTTTAGCATATGGCTCTTGTAAACAGCATTTAGTTATATCTCTTAACTTTATCCATCTGGCCAGTCTCTGCCATTTAATTGGGTAAGCCATTTACAGTTAATGCAATTATTAATATGGTTGAATTTAAATCTACCACCTTTTACTTTGTTTTATTTGTTGCATCTGTTCTTTGCCTCTCTTTTTCTCTCTTCTTTTAAATTAGCTAAATACTTCTTTGTATTCCATTTTATCTCCTAATTGAATTGCTAGCTATATCTCTTTAAAAAATTTTAGTAGTTTATTTCACAATTATAATATGCACTTTTTACTTATTACCATCATCTTCCCTAAACCATTTATTATACCATTTCATATACAATATAAAAATCATATGATGTAAATGTAAAATGTATTTTTACATACATATATGTAAAAATCAGCCTACTTTCATTTCTCCCTTCATGCCTTTGGTATATTGTTATAGATTTTACTTCTACATGTAAATCTCATAAAACATTTAAATTATTTTCACTTTAAACAGTCAATATACTTTTACAGAAGTTAAGATTTTAAAAAATTTATGCACATATTTACCATTCTCCGTGTTCTTTATCAGTTCTGTTAGATTTGGTTTTTTCCCTTTGAGATTATATTCCTTTAGCCTGAATAAATTCCCTTAGCATTTTTTATAATGCAGGTTGCTGGAAATGAATTTTCCTGGCTTTTGTTTTCTTGAAATTATGAGTATCTTTATTTTGCCTTTATTTTTGAAATTTTTTTTGGTTAGATGTATAATTCTTGGTTGACAGTAGTCATTCAACACTTTAAATATGTCTTTGCATTGTCTAGTGGATTCCATTTTTTCTGATGATAAGCCAGCTTCTACTGTTATTGTTGCTTTTATGAATGTAAGGTGGTTTTGCTCTTGCTGAAACTTTCTGTTTATGTTTTACTTTCAGCAATTGATTGTGATATGTCTAGATTGGTCTCATTTGTATTTTCCCATTTCTTTTCATTGAGATTATTGGAGATATAGTTTGATGTCTTTCATCAATTAAGTCGTCTGAAGACATTATTTTATCTAACATTTCTTTTACCCAATTCTGTTTCTACTATGCTTCTGGTTCTTCATGGTTCTTCAGGTACATATACATATATGTTAGGCAGTTTGATAATGTTCTACAGATCTTGGATGCTCTATTGTATTTTTAAAGTGGTTTTCCTCTCTGTGGCTCAGTTTAAGATAATTTCTATTGTCTTCAAACTCACTAATTCTTTATTCTACGGATCCTATGTGTCTATTCTGCTGCTATGCTATTGCAATAAATGTTTTATTTCAGATATTTATGAATTCAGATCTAGAATTTTCATTTGGTTGTTTTTTAGAGATTTAGTTTCTCTGTTGAAGTTTTCCGTCTGTTCTCCATTGTGTTCATCTTTCCTTATAACCTTTTAATGTATTTATAATGGAAAATCCCTTTATACTAATTCCCACATCAAGATGATCTATATTTTCAATTTTTTCTGTTGATTGTGGGTCAAATTACCGCTCTTCCTTTGCATGTCTAGTAACTTTTTATTATATATTGGACATTGTGAAATATACATTGTAGAGATTCTGGATTGTTATTTTCCCCTCAGAGTGTTGAATTTCATTTTTTCATGCAGTTAATTTACTTTTGGGTCATTTTAGTCCCTAGAACTTTGATTCTAGGCTGTTGCTGGGCAAGTCTATCTTGTTTTTTTCCCCTAGATTGTATCCCTTAATCTGGGATGTGGTTTTTACTCCTATGGTTTTGCCCTTCTGAGGTTTCAGTAGAAAGTCTAATTTGGATAAATTTCAGCCCCAGACTATCTCCTAGCACTGGCTAGGTGCTGAAATCTCTGCTTGGCTCTTTAGACTGTGGCTGTTACTTTCCACTGGGGTTCTTGGAGTCTTTTTCTGCACATTGCAATTTCTGAGTTAGCCAAATAATTTGGAGGAAATTTGTACATAGAACTTGGGTTCCTCTTCTGAGGCTGATAAGGTTTGGCTCTGCATCCCCTCCCAAATCTCATGCTGAATTGTAATCCCCACATATTGAAGGAAGGGACTGGTAGGAGGTGATTGAATCATGGGGGCACACATCCCCCTCATTGTTATTATTCTCATGATACAGTTCTCATGAGATCTGGTTGTTTGAAAGCGAGTAGCACTTCACTCTCTCACTTTCCTGCTGCCATGTGAAGATGTGCTCACTTCCCCTTTGCCCTTCTGCCATGATTGTAACCTTCCAGGGGCCTCCCCAGCCATGCTTCCTGTACAGCCTGTGGAACCATGAGCTAGTTAAACCTCTTTACTTTATAAATTACCCAGTCTTAGGTAGTTCTTTATAGCAATGTTAGAACTAACTGATATAGAGGCTAAACTTTTTTACATGGAGGTTTCTTCTTTGTTGTATTATGTTTTATTTTATTTCTATCTGTTTTTTTTAATAATTATTTTTTACCCTTCTGCTTTGCTGATTGGTACTCTTTGAGGCTCTTTAGCTTCGATATGGATTTATGTTTATGTTTTTATTCTTTTCAGTGGTGTTTTGAGAGGGAAGAGAGAGAAAATATATGAGTTTAGTCAGCCATCTTGACATAGATGTCTCTTTAAAGAGATTTGAAATTTTTTCTTTGACACAAAGTTTACATGTTTTAGATACAAATTATATTTCTAAAAATACAAAAAATCAGCTGGGCATGGTGGCGCGTGCCTGTAATCCCAGCTACTCAGGTGGCTGAGGCAGGAGAATTGCCTGAACCCAGGAGGCGGAGGTTGCCGTGAGCCGAGATAGCGCCATTGCACTCCAGCCTGGGTAACGAGCGAAACTCCCTCTCAAAAAAAAAAAAAAAAAAAAATCCGTCCATTGTTACTTTTACCATGAATTAATTGTGGCTCTCTGAGTTAACCTTCAAATAGTTTTACTTTGTCTATCTAAAATCTACCTGTTTCATAAAATTCAGGTCAGAATTTACTTTTCTGTCTTGTTTGACATATCAGCCCTGAATTAATGTACGTAATACTGATGACAATTATATAGAAGTTCCACATTTATTTTTATTTATTTTTTGATTATGGAAATACTTGGTTTCTGGATATATTATACTTCATTCAGTCTTGTGGACCAATAAAAAGACTTTCAGTCATATAATGAGAACATCTTAAATTGGACTTCTAAATGTTAATTCTCCATTTATGAAAACCCATATGAAACATTGATACTTTACTTTTATTTCTCCTGACACAAAAAATTTCTTATTGTTCATTAAAAGCAAACTGGGGTTGTTTGGCTCTAGACATGATGATATGATAATGATGAGAAGGGTGATATAATAACTAATTTTCACTGAGTACTTTCTATATGCCAGGCAGTGACATACTTAAGGCAGTTTACTCCTTAACTATTCAAACAACTCTATGAGGTAGAAATTTCATAATTCTTTCATTTTGCTTTTGGATGAGAAATTCAAAGCTTAGAGAGGTTAAAGATTTCACCCAGTGTTACATTGTTAATAAACAAGATGACAGTGTTTTGAGTGAAAATTTTAAATTGAGTGTTTTATGTGTTGAAACAATTTGAACCAGATTTGAATGGGGAGGGGAAGAAAGGGGCTGGTAGTGAGGCTTTCTGATAACTAAATGACCCTAATGACCTCAGTGAAATCATGGATACAAAGGGGATTGACACATCCAAAGCAAGTGGAGCTTTGACGGTTCACCAGATGGCCCTCAGTGTGAATGATGTTATACCCAATAGATCGCTGGGAGAATCCTTAGGGATTATTATATCCGTTTCCTTCCATTTTTTTTTAAAGAAGGGTTTCCTTTATTTTCCCCTCCTAACCAAGGGCCTTACTCAGAGCCTCCTTATTGCTCCATGGCAGAGCTGGGCCCAACATCTTGGTGTCTTGGCATGCAGAGAGAACACCACAAATGTAAGCCATTACATTGCCTTCACAGGTACTTGGCTAAAGCTTTCCTTACCCTTCTTCTTGCCCCTGTCTTTAGAGCACAGTGTTTTTCTTGCCCTCTCCCAAGGGTCTTTACCCTGACCTTGTCTTGCCTGTGAGAGCCACTTGTTTATAAGAATTGTCTTAGCGCACCATAATCTTGGCTTCTTTCTTTAACAAATGGAACCTCTCCCTGAATGTCAGCAGACTTGTTAGAAAACAGTTCCTGCCTTAGAATAACCAATGTAAAAAGCAACAAGAGGCTTGGACGAAGCTTGATTAATTATCTGTGTACTTTATGCTGAAAGAGTGAATCATGGTCTTCATTTTCCTCTCAAAAATATGAGCTGCCTGCTTTGAATTAATCCGGAATGGTGTTTCAAAAAAAAGGAAAAAACTTCTCTACTGCTGTGTCAGCATTTGGAATTACTGCCTGAGGCTTTTCTTTTTCCTTCTCAGAGAATCTAAAGGTATGTCGAATAATTTTTGGATTCAATGTAATTATTTCAAGTTTTTTTTTTAAGAAAAAGGTGGAAGAAAATAACTTTTTGAAGGCTGTGCTCCAGAAAGAAGTGTTCCCATTGTCAGTTCTTTTTTGTTTGTTTGTTTCTGAGCAAGGTGTTTTGAAAATCACCCCCCATTTTTCTCCTGGCTGGGCTGGAAATCACAAACTCTCGCCTCTGGAGGGAAATCAGAAAGCAGCTCATGGTCTGGACTGAGCTGGGCCTGATGCCACACTGAACAGAGTCAGGTTCTACGTAAGAATCAATGTCAGAGAGAAAGAAGTCTGGGTGTCGTTTCCCGGTGTGGTCTTGAGCTAGGAAAGCATTTGTTCCTCTCTAGGGTGAGCCCCTTGGGAGAAGGGACCTATTGTGTTCACCTTGTCTCTGTCACCCCCGATGTATGCCTGGCACATAGTAGATGCTCAGGAAATACCATGTGAATGAATTGACTGCAGTGAGGGCATTTCAGATCACATTTCTGCCTATTGGAGGAATGGGCTCTCTCCATGGGAATCTCCTGGGCCTGAGTATGGGAGACAGGGGTCTCCCATGGCTTGTCCTGCTGACATGCAGAGAATCTCAGAGGACAAGTTGAGGATGGCATGAGTTCCTCAAGGAGGACAATTTTCTTCTCCAGGAAGACATGCAACAAGGAAGGGGTCAGGAGTTTCATTGAGATGCCCTTTGGGTCTGCCACTCCATCAGCTCCCTGGCATGGGTGACCCCTGGCTCTCCCACATTGCACTTTGCCATTTAGAGGCTGTGCAGGGTAGGACCAAGGAGGGAGAGGGCAAGGTGACAGTGGGCTTGTGTGGGTTTGTGTGCATTTGACTAAATGTCAGGACACATACCAAGGTTTTCCACGTTTTCATTTTTCGTCATGAACCATGCCCAGAGCAGCTGACTATCCCACCTTCTCGTGAGGGGTCCTTGGTGGAGTCCCACTCATTTCCCCAGGTGCAGCTTCTAGGCTCAGATACTTGGCACATCTTCCAGGAAGGGAGCTGTTCAGGGTGGCTGCCTTACTCTCATGGCTGAAGCTCACCTCTTCCAGAACCACAGCTTTTAAACAATTGATCTTTGCTGGAATTTTTTCTTTTATTTTAAGTCAACTATTTGGTAAAACTATGAAACAAGCATAGGCTTGATGCAGGAAACTTATATGATACACAGAGAAAAATGAATAGAATAGAAAGTAAGATTATTTCTGATCCTACTACCCAGAGAAAACCACAGTTAACGTTCTTGTGCGTGGTCTTTAGTCTTACGCCTATTCCCATGATAATACATAATACTTTCTTTACACAAGAGGTACGTCTCATCTGAAATAATGTTTTGTAGCCTGCCTTTTTCCCTTGGTTTTATGCCCTCAGCATTTTCCTATGCCAAGTACTCTTTCTTGACTTGTATTTTAAAACGCTGCAATACAGTCCATTAAATGTAAGCAAATAATTCAATACAGCCAGACTGCTGATGTTGGACATCAGTTTTTAGTTGATGTAGTTAGTGCCATGATGAATATCCTGGAACATACATTGCTGTGCACAACTCTGTTTGTTCTTAGGCTTAATTCCTGGCTGGATAAGGAAATCCTGAGTCAAAAAACTTCCCATCCCCTGCACTACCATGTTTTGCTAATTGCCCTCCGGAAATGTTTTTCCAGTTTACATTCCTCCCAGTAGTCCCTGATCTGGCTGACCATCCTCACGGGACCTGTTCACATGTTCCTTGCTGGAGAAACCATCACTGAGCATCTCATGTTCCACACCTTTCTCAGTCACATTATCACATTCCTCTGTTTTGTTTTTCTCATGGCATTTATTGCAATCTGAAATGATGCTCTTGTTATTTACTGGTATCCCTGTTTATCATTTGTCTCTGCTCACAGGCTGTATGTCCTGTGGGTGCAGGGACCTTGCCTGTTGGGGTCATTGCTGTCTTGCCTTCCCACCATTCCCCAGGATCTGACTCACCATGGTGGGCAGGAGGTGTTTGCTGAATGAATAAATGTTTACCCACACCATTAATGACACTCATATTATCATGCATTTTTTAATAAAAAATGTTTGCCTTCATTCTAAAACAAAGGCTGCCAAAATGCAATTTAACCAATGGCTGGAGACGAAATTATGACAGATGGCCCTCAGGTAGTCAAGAAATACCTTCTTGTTCTGATGAGGCGTGAGATCCTTTTCCATGAAACAACTGGAGGTTATAATTTTGGTTTGTTTCTTATAGTATAAAATATTTTCTCTATTCTTGAAAGGCTATGGATGGTATGCTGTCTAAAGCAAGTTAGTTTCCATTTCTGATTTGCCCCTGATAATCTAACAAGACCTTGAGAGGAGACAGTCACCCTGTTAAAATTGTATGTAAAGCAGCATAACTCTTATTTAATGTTTAGGTTTAGCCTGAGTGTTTGAACAGCTACAGTGTTTAGGTGCTGGAGGATTCTGCATGCCCAGACCTTTTTGATTACTGGATGATTTTTACAGAGGGATGGTTACAGAGGGTTGAGTTCTTGGTGCATGAGTTTTGATCATTCTTGTTACTGAGTGTGTTGCCCCCTTGAGTACAATGGCAGAATGTCTTCTGACTAATTCAATAGAGGGTGGGGGGTGGGAAGCTGGGGAGAGATAGCTGGGGGAGAAATGCCAGATGTAGGTGATGGGGAGGAAGGCAGCAAATCACACTGCCATGTGTGTTCCTATGCAACAATTTTGCATGTTCTTCACATGTACCCCAAAACCTAAAATGCAATAAAATAAATAAATGGGAAAAAAAAAAAAAAAGAAGTTGAACAAGGACTGTATCCAAGGATTATCGGCTGTGGATGTGCATCTGGGGCTGGGGAGGCTGTCCAGGGCCATGCTGCAGGAGCCTGAATCTGACCTCCTCTGTCTAAGGTTTTGGTCAGTAGCTTGGATAAAGACATAGAAGGCAGCCTTATCAAATTTGCAAATGACACAAAACCTAGATGGAAAGCTAGTATATTGAATAATAGCATAAGGATTCATAAAAATCTTGACAGGGAGGATGCCTCTGAAACTAACAAGGTAAATCCTAACAGGATTACATATGCAGCCTGCAGCTCACTTCAGCAGTGCTGGCAGCAGCCACCAACGATGGGAGAGGCCTAGCTTGAAGGCAGTTTGTGGAGTTAGTAAGGCCCTTGGTTTCCTAAATGTTGATTTTTAAAATTAATTCTTCCTTCAATACTATTAACAGCAGCAGGGCATCAAGACCTAAAGGGTGCTAATCTGCTCCCAACACTGCTCCTGCCTTCTCGTCTTTCCTTTATTGCTACAACAGTGCTTTCCCCACTGTTCTTTCCTCCCACACCCTTACCCAACCCATTTGATTTTCAGGCCCAAGTTGGGCTCTGCTTTATCTGAGGAACTCTCCCTAAGCCTCAAGGCAGAGTAAGTTATCCTCTCCTTTCAAGCACTCTGGCAATACCGCTTCTTCCCCATTAGGTTGCTCACTAAACCATGTGGCCAGTCTCTGTCTGATGGTACACCTCCCCTGTGGACTAAGGATTCTTGGAGGGCAGGGGCTGTGTCTGCCTGTGAGACACTCTACCCCAAACTGTGACACAGTGATTGACACAGATGCCAGTGGACACTTTGGTTGGTGGCATACATTCCTGGAGTGTGGGGTGGAGTCTAAGCCCCACACTGTTGGATCTTGTACCCCTGTAGGCCATTCAGGAGTGGCAGCTTTCTAGCCCTTGTGCTATGAAAAGCACATGGTGGAAGTGCAGATGCTTAACCAGAACACGAAAGGACATGGTGAGGACTGTACCGTGTGCAGGCTGTCAAGGATGGAGGGTGTGGACTATTTTGAGGGGTTTCAGGGCAGCATAAGGGACACTAGAGAGAAGGGATGACTCAGTTCCTGGAATGGAAAGGCTTTAAAACCCTTATAGCTCTAACCATCTATGGACTGCTTGGTAGGAGTTGTTCATTCACTGCAAATGTTGAATTGTGGAGAGGATTTTTAAATTGGAAGAGGAGTTGACAGAGAATGATGATGGCAACATTAACAGCTAACTCTTCCTGGAAGCTCCCTGGGCCCCAGATGCTTTATACAACTGGGTCCTTACAGCTTCCCTGCAAGGTTTGGTGCTCTGTGACCTTGATGGGGCATACAAGGAAACAAACACTGTGATCAAAGTTTCCTGGCCAGTAAGGAGCTGATACCTGAAGCTTGATCCCACTCTGAGGGTATTTTATGCTAAGATGCTACTATGTTGCAGTTTAGCAACTGATATAGTTTGTTTGTGTCCACACCCAAATGTTGTCTTGAATTCCAACTTGGGAGAAACCTGGTGGGAGGTAATTGAATCATGGGGGCAGGTCTTTCTTGTGCTCTTCTCATAATAGTGAATATATCTCACGAGATCTGATGGTTTTATAAGGGGGGTTTCCCTGCACAAGCTCTCTTTTCCTGCCGCCATCCATGTAAGACATGACTTACTCCTTCTTGCCTTACACCATGATTGTGAGGCCTTCTCAGATATGTGGAACTGTAAGGTCATTAGATCTTTCTTTTGTAAATTGCCCAGTCTTGGGTATGTCTTTGTCAGCAGTGTGAAAACAGATTAATACAATTAATAGTAAATTGCTACCAGTAGAGTGGGGTGCTGCTGAAAAGACAACTGAAAATGTGGAAGCAACTTTGTAACTGGGTAATGGGCAGAGGTTGGAACAGTTTGGAGGGCTCAGAAGAAGACAGGAACATATGGGAAAGTGTGGAACTCCCTAGAAACTTGTTGAATGGCTTTGGCCAAAATGCAGTTAATGATATTGACAATAAAATTCAGACTGAGGTGGTCTTAGATGGGGATGAGAAACTTGTTGGGAACTGGAGCAAAGATGACTCTTGTTATGTTTTAGCAAAGAGACTGGGAGCATTTTTCCCATGCCCTTGAGATTTGTGGAACTTTGAACTTGAAGGAGATGATT